TGTGTGTGTGTGTGTGTGTGTGTGTGTGTGTGTGTGTGCGTGCGTGCGTGTGTGTGTGTGTGTGTGTGTTTCTTTTGGCAGTGCGTACGTCGAACAGACATCGACGCATTCCACATAAATTTATCGAAATTTAAACAAGTTGCATTTGAACAAAATAACAAGAAGAATTTGCATTATTTTGTTGTAAGTAAACAATTCTATTATTTATTATATGTACAGTAATAAATGATTACAGATTAGTAGAAACTAGAAATATTTTGGTAATTATTTTATTTGAGAGTTATTTAAATTTTTACAGATAAGATAACACATTGTATAAAATAAGTTGAATTAAAATATAATAAAAAATGTATTTACAATTTTACAGAAAATATTCACAATACTAAACGATGACTATGAATGCTTGCATAAAAATACAATTCCTGAAGAACTTATATAATTCAATAGAGGAACTATCGCAAAATATGGATATGCCATCAGGAAATATCTGAAGGAATTTGCGTTATCTGCTTTTCAAAAGCAAATCAAGCTATTTTGTACCTTTTTTATCACAGATGTACAAACTTATACTTATAATGGGTACTTCTAAGAGTCCTTCTTTTCTATCTCTTTAATGAAAAGAGAGACTGTAACAAATATGTATATCAAATTATAAAGGATTTTTAAGGAGGTAGCTACTTATCAGTCGGATATATCATAAAGAGATACGTTTTTTTGAAGGTAGAATGTATTATTTTAATACTAAATGTTAAAATAACTTGTTTTTTAAGTAACTATCTGTTCATATTTATACTTAAATATTAAAGTAACATGTACGTATGAAAATTGTTTCAAATGGCACACTTTATCCAAGGGATGTTTCCTGGACGTCCCTTGGATAAAGTGTGCTGTTTGGAGTAGGAACATGTCGATTGCTACAATATTTATATTTAAATATATAATTCCAATAATAATTTTCACTTGTTCTTTATAAAAGAGACATTCCTTATCGTTAATATAATATTGTTTTTAATAACGTATACAGGGTGCGTTCCGATATTCACTGCCAGTACTGAATCTATACAGCATACGTTACGTGTGCTATAGATTTTCAGTACTGGCAGTGAATATCGGAATGCACTCACAGTACAAACCATGAACGTACATATATGATCACACGGTAAGAATTATTTTTAATTAGATGCGTAATGTATGATGTATCCGACTGATAAGTAGCTACTTCCTTAAAAATCCTTTATAATTTGATGTATATATATTTGTTACAGTTTCTCTTTTCATTAAAGAGATGAAAGAGAAGGATTATAAGTGTAAGTATGTACATTTGTGATAAAGGTACAAGTATATACTACTGTGATAAAGAAGGTATAATTTATTACTCTGATAATTTTGTTTTGTTTATTTCTATAAAATTCAGTTAAAGTTAATTTTAAATATGAAATATAAAAATCTGTTTACGCCGATGTAAAACATTGTATTGTAACACGTCAGTGCCAAGCTATGTATAGAATACGATTTTTTGTTGCATAACATATGTACCTACTTTCGTGATGGAGGAGGTATAATTTTATATCTCATAGCTTAAGCTACGTATAAAATGCGATTTTTTGTTACGTAACATAAGTATAATATATACTCCTGTGATAAAGGATGAGATACAATTTACTATTTTGTTAGTTTCGCTTGGTTTATTTCTCTAAAATTGAATTGAAATAATTTGAATGCACGATACGAAAATCTGCCTACGACGATGTAATACACTGTCACATTAGTGCCAAATTATATGCATGGAATACAATTGTTTGCGTAACATAAGTACAAAATTTTATGATAGAAGAGGTATAATTTACAATTATGTTAATTTCGTTTGATTTATTATAAAATTGAGTTAAAGTTCATTTTGATTGCACCGTACGAAATAATATAACAAATCTTTTTATTTACAATGGTGCAATACAATATGTCGTAACACGTAATTGATTATTTCGTACCGAGCACTCAAAATTATTTCAACTCAATTTTATAGAAATATAAATCAAGGGAAACTAACAAAGTAATAAATTACATCTCCTAGGTTAAGCTACGTATAAAATGCGATTTTTTGTTACGTAACATAAGTATAATATATACTCCTGTGATAAAGGATGAGATATAATTTACTATTTTGTTAGTTTCGCTTGGTTTATTTCTCTAAAATTGAATTGAAATAATTTGAATGCACGATACGAAAATCTGCCTACGACGATGTAATACACTGTCACGTTAGTGCCAAATTATATGCATGGAATACAATTGTTTGCGTAACATAAGTACAAAATTTTATGATAGAAGAGGTATAATTTACAATTATGTTAATTTCGTTTGATTTATTATAAAATTGAGTTAAAGTTCATTTTGATTGCACCATACGAAATAATATAACAAATCTTTTTATTTACAATGGTGCAATACAATATGTCGTAACACGTAATTGATTATTTCGTACCGAGTACTCAAAATTATTTCAACTCAATTTTATAGAAATATAAATCAAGGGAAACTAACAAAGTAATAAATTACATCTCCTAGGTTAAGCTACGTATAAAATGCGATTTTTTGTTACGTAACATAAGTATAATATATACTCCTGTGATAAAGGATGAGATATAATTTACTATTTTGTTAGTTTCGCTTGGTTTATTTCTCTAAAATTGAATTGACATAATTTGAATGCACGATACGAAACAATACACGTATAATAAATTTATTTACGGCGATGTATGTATATGTTCTAAAAGCTTCCTTTTTAATACTTTGATTTTATCGAGCAACGATCTTAATTTCTGGAATATTATTTTTCCAAAAATACAAAATTTGTATTGAAAAGAAGAAAAATAAATATGCTATTAAAGGAGTTCTCCAGCTTGAAAAGTGGAGAAAAGATACATGACTTTTCCTTCATAAATATCTCTTTTAACTTTAATATTGTCAACTACATATAAAATAATAAATAGTGAACAAAATGTAAGCAATAAATAAAAATAATGTGTTACTTAAAAATATCTTCTTTAGAATATTGATAAATAGCAATACAGAAAAAAATTGAGTCTTTTATTGTTAATTGTCTCCTCATAGAACTCTAAGAATTTTTTCAGAATTTTTTATCGACCTTTTAGTATTGCATTTTCTTATTTTTATTATCATGCGAAAATACGGTATTAAAAAATTCTGAAAAAATTCTCAGAATTTAAACAATTTTTGTCTCTCACAGTTTTTCTGTAAAGTTGATAATATTTGAGAAAAAAATTAATGAAAACCAATATTCGGCCATTTTTAGTAATTAATATTTTGTTAACTATTGCGAAAATTGCGAAATGGTAGAGGACTTTTCGACTGAGTTCGGTCCACTCTATCTGCTGATGATTGGTGATTTAATCGGTTTAAAAAACCCCGTATACGAGTTCATACATAATTAACTAATAAACTAAATTAAACTAAATTGAACTACATTTACCTTTTGTATTTTTTATACTTTTAGAGTTTAATGAGAACGGAAATAGGTTAAATAGAAACAGAAATAGACGTCGTCGATCGCGAAGAAGAATGCATTCATTAGAAAGCTCACAGGATGAAGTAAGATCTGACGG